ACGATTGGAGCCACCAAGCATGATGAGCTCATGGCTGCTATTGCTCGTGCACCGGAGATTCTTAAGGGTCTTCCCAAAGATCGCATCGATCTTTTGCGCGACAAACTGTCGCACCTCGGGTGCACTGTTTCTGTTGCATCCAAGATCCGAGGACCTGAGCTTATCACACTTTTGCTTGCAGCCACAGCCATTACCGATGTCTGACTAAGTACACCAGAGGATGTGCTTTTTCGCGACAACTCATGAGTGATCCTAAGTGGTCTAATGGTCTTGCTACACTTTATGTATGATGTGGGAGAGTATATGGCTTTGAGACTACCTGCGCGAGTTCTTGCTGCCTTTATTCTGATACAAGCTATCTGCCACAGCAGTTGTCGTGCAATGCATATTCGTACTTGGAGACGTCGATTTCTTCATTTGCAAGGACTCACTCTTTTGGAGTTCTCAACATTGTTCGAACAAAGCAACACAGTATATGTTCTCCTTATGCCCTTGATGGAAAAGCGAGGATGGCATCACATTCATGGGGCTCTTATACAGCGTCGGAGATTTTGCATTGGATCTACCTCAGTTTCAGCTCACTCCAGACAAGATGCTCGACTTCGCAAGTATCGACGACTACAGCGTGGAGACTTTTGCAATGCTGAGCTGATGTTACATTATTTTCATACTCGCGGTGATCTTTTTCATGCAGTTCTTATTCCTGTTCATTGCTTCGAATCTTTGCATCAAGCCAGAGCCTCTGAGTATTCCTTTATTCATTCTTGGAAGCCCCCCAGTTGAATGCACCTTGGATTGTTCGCCCCAACCCCACGTCTACCACTCGATTTGCTCAACCATTTACAGTGAAGTCTTGTTATGGTAGTCCTGGCAAACGACTTTGGCTTAAAGTTCGTCGAAAACTTCGCACTCTTGGACTCTTACGGTTGTACGAGAACACCCTGCTTGAGCCCTATGACAACTGGTTGTTACTAATGAACATCGCCAATGGGGGCATGAAGGCCTTCCAAGCAGAGAAGAGACTCAGAAGTGCAGAATTTCACAATCATCAGGTCTATGCTCTGTACCGATTATGCAATCTTCTAGATGATCTGCCCCAAACTGCAGTTCGATCTGTACTACGACGCATTCTCACAATTCGTCAATGTGCAATCCCTCGTGGCCCCAAGCCTCTGGTTTTACCACTTCTTGCACACGAACCATTTCAAAGTGCTGTTGAGCAATGGATGAGCGAGATCATCATTAATTCTAAGGACTACATGATTCCGTTTCACCTTCCTCACAAGAAGTGTGTAGCTGGCAAACATCGATCCTTGCGTGATGTCATCTACAACAATATTGCCGTTGTTGAACAATGGCAGTGGGATTCTCCTCCACCATGCAACTGCGCTGAACTTCGCCTTCGACATCCTCATGCTCATATTGTTGATGGACACATTGCATCGCCCTTGTCTCAATTCAGTTTTTCCAAGCGCCTTTGCCGATTACTGCAGTATTCTATGGACTCACAGCTGTTTCCGAACTTGTATCACTATTTAACCGCATCTTGGCCCAGCGTTCAACGTTGGTTGTTCCATCACAACATATTTACTGTCACATTTGAGAATTGGGAAGCCTTTGTGAAGCAAGAGTGGTCGCAACACAAACATGCAGCATTCACCAGATTGAAGTACAAAGACGCGGGCTTCATCAAGAACTCCCTACAAGATCTTTTTATACATGGCCGAGATCATGCTATCACTCATGGACATGCATTCTGTCAGCAATCTGTCTGGCAGACTTATAAGAAGACTTTCGGAGACACGCAAGTGTATGAGCGACTGTTGATGCAACCTTCACAAGCTGATGAGTTTCTGCGTGCGACTTGCTCTCGACCATTTCTTCGCCGCTACAAGTGGGGTATCAACCTTCCAACTTCGAGCTTGCCCATTGCCTATCTGCTTCTAAAACAAAGGAAGGACTTCAAAGGTGCCAGGCCCATCATTTCATACATTCATTTCCTCTATGCCAAGCTTTTCGTGCCACAGCGATTGCGTTGGACGTCATCATGCGCGCTACACGTCCTCGTTCTTTTGGTCTCAATACTCTTCCGTCCATCCTTCAACAGCTCACCCAGTTCCTTCAGATGCTTCCTGACGATGCACATCCTGTAGTCTTCAACCAAGATCTCGTGGGCTTTTTCACTTCTATTCCTGTTTTTGGCATTCTGAATGCTGTTGGATGGCAGTCAATGAGTACTGTATGCTACAGAAGTCTGATGCGGATAGTATTACTTTTTCTGTCAATCTTCAAGAACAAGATACCAAGCTACGCATTTGGCTTGGAAGTCCTCGAAAGGCTGCTAAACGTACGGTTCTTATTCATCTTTCCGACATTGTGGATATTTGTGAACTCAGTTGTGACGCAAGCGTTTTTACTGTCATGCACAAGGTCTTCAGACAGACTCGAGGAGCTACTTTTGGCAACCAGATTTCTCCTATGCTTGCCAGACTCACAGTATCCATTGAAGAGGAGATCTACGTACGTCATCTTCAAAGTTTCTTTGATGCCAACAAGCCACTGTTCTTCTGTACTAGATATGTGGACAACCGATTGGTTATTGTTTCCGACAAGATCATTACTGATCATCGTCTTCAGCATTTCCTTCGCAACAATTTTTATCAGCATCCTGTGGAACTTCAGCATGTTACCAGTGCTGATGCACTTGAAGCGTTTCTTGGGTTTGATCTACAGCTTAACCACCATCGTTTGCAACTACTACTACGGCCTGATCTTCGGAAGATTCGAGAACCCAACAGTGCTGGTCCTGAAAGACATCGCACTGCAGCTTTTCATTGCGCAAAAATTCATATTGAACGTCATGTTTGGCCACCTCACATCCGTGATGAGCAATTACTTCGACTCCGTCAGAGCTTTGCAGCTGCTGGATATCATCATCTGTAGTTTCACTTTCTTTTTTGCACCCTGCATTGCTGATTCACCAAACTTTCGGCTCTTTTCGTTAGTATTGCTCAGCCATGCGAACAGATTCCATCGGATCACCTCATGAGCCACTTCTCCCGCTCCAAAGGTGGATTCGGTACACCCAAGCAGAACTACGACAGGTTCGAGCTGAACTACAGCACCGATGCGAGGAGGAACAAGCGATTCGCCGTATTCAGCAAGCTCAGCTCGATTCCCTCCAACAGCAGATACGTGATCTTGGTCAACAACAGTCTGAAATCTGTGAACAAGTAGCTGAAATTGCGAACACTATCGCTGAGTTGTTTCAACAACTTAACCTTCTTCGTCTAAATGTTAATCAAGCAATGAACGATGTGTTACGACATTTCGACAACCCACCTGTTGTAAACTCTACATAGATTGCAGCTACTCAACCTGAGTTTCACTCATCATAGTTTGTTTCACCCCAGTTTTGCAGCTTTTCTGTCAGCCACAGTGTTCTGCTCTAGAAAAGATCCTCCTGATCGCAGTGTAATACTGATGCATTGATCAGTGGTTTGAAATTTGCCTGCAGCCGCTATTCGTTGAGCTTTTTTTGTAACCTAACTGTCGATCTTTCATCCAGAGCCATGACCAAACGTTCAGCAGACTCAGCGCAACTGGCTACTACCAGCAGCCAGCTACATTTTCAGGTTCATGTTCCTGACAGCTTCGTCACGTCAGGGAATGCAGCGTCGCGTTCATCATCATCATCATCTGCTGCGCCCAATCGAGTGCCGTCAGTTTTGCAGATAACCTTGATGTCGGATGACAATGCAGACCTGCTCAAGCGTTCCATCAGTGCACATGTACATGAGCATTCCGGAATATGGCGCCCGCCAAGCACCTTGCAATTGGTGCAAAATCATCGTCACATCAGATTCTGGGAGCCGCTGACGAGTTTCACCGTCAATGAGCCAATTCAAGTTGTCATCACGCAGCTTGGCTTTCGAGATCCCTCTGAGATGCACAGTGCAAATGCTGATGTGGACATGCAGTCGTAATCTGTTTCACCCATGAATGTTACACCTGACAGGTATTGTCCAATCCGTACATGTTTCAAAAGCATCACCGGCCATCGCCGGTTGTGAGTGTGCGCAACTCCTGTTTCTAAGGATACAATGGTAGAGCAGTTTCCAAGCAGCTTGTCAATTGCAGGGTGACACAGCATGTCACTGGGACTGTGTCCA